TGTCAATGATGAGTATTGAGGATAATTATTTAATTATTTAACAGTGAATGCTTATTATTGTATTTAGTTTATTCATTCTCTTTATTGTACTTATTTTCCAGACTATGTACATCATTGAATATACAGTTGTGATCCATCCATCTACCTACAATACACCAAGTTAATCTGATCACCTGTCTCCTCATTATTTGTGCTCTTACCGGCACCCAGAAGGGTTTACTCATCCATCACCTAATCCAAACCTAACAGTCCAAAGCCTCTCCAACAAATTGGTCCTTCGAGCCGGATTGAGTATTCCCCTCTGAAGTTATGGACTCTGATGAGGAGATGCTTGGAGGAACTCGCCCTAAGCGCCATACTCGTCCTCCAGCTTACCTACAGCAATATGAGGTACATTATACACGAGGCAGACCTGTCGCTGATCATGATGTTCCACAAACCTGGGAGGCACCTGCCCAACGGACTCCCCCCTCATCCTTCCAGACCTACGCCATTGCCCCTGATGGTGACCTGATATGTTCTGGTGGATCACAGATCATGTCCTCGAATTATCTGCCTCCACAGCATGTTGTATGTCCTCAGCGTTCCTTCTCGTCGCCTTCGGCAGCTGATTTCACTACCTCTGCACATGACCGTGAGCGACAGCATTTGCGCCAGGAGCATGCACAACTAATGCAGACACATCAGGCTTTCCAGGCTGACTTAAGGGAGTTGAGAGAAGTCCGTGCTGAAGTTAGAGAATTAGTACAGGTGGCTCAGTCCCTTCGAGTCGATCTCAGTAAAGCTAGAGGAGAGAACCTATCGCCAGCACAGCTGACAGCGTCTCAGTTATCCAGCCCCCTGAGGCCAGCTGAATCTACAAACTTAGTGGAGGATGGACACTTCGCTGAGCTTCCCCCACCCCCGTGGCCTGAGCCTGACGTTGAGCTGAGAGCCCGGGTGGATGCCCTTGCTTTGTCTGATACGGGTGCCACAATTCACCTACCTGTGATGCCAGAGACCAGAAATTATCCCTTTGTATCCCCAGCTACTCAGTCACGCCCTCCTAAACCTTATGCTCCTGATGTCTGGCGATTTCCCCCTCCTCCTACTCCTAAAGAGCTTCAAGAGCTGCTAACACCTGCGGCCATGCCTTTACCTGCCAACCGCACGTCGGTACCTATCTCCTCACGGTTCAGCTCTATGCCTGCTTATTCGATTCCTCCAAATCTAGCGATGAAGGTAGAACCCAATCAACCTCTTGCAGTATCTATGTCTGAATATGTGTACAGAGGACCTACCCCTACCATTCCTAAGTTTAGCCGGCCTGATCCTGGTGAGTTTGCCAGACTCCGGATTGCTTTAGAGAACCTGCTCCCTCCTGACGGGACAGAACTTTTCAAATACCAGATCTTAGTGGATCATCTCAAGCTTGAGGAGGCTAGAATGATAGCGGACGCTTATCTGAACTCCCTTACCCCATTCACTGATACAATGACTGCACTTCATGAGAAGTTTGGTCAACCGCATCAACTTGCCTTAAGGAGGATCGCTGTTGTTCTTGAGAGTCCTGACATCAAGCGAGGTGATATATCTGCCTTCCAGAGGTTCGCTCTCCAGGTACAGTCACTAGTGGGACTACTGAGAACCTTGGGACGCGATGGTGAACTGGAGCTAAGTTGTGGGTCCCATGTTGCGCGACTTCTTAGTAAGCTTCCACCTGAGCTGCGTGCTGACTTCCGTCGCCATATGTTCCACCAACCTGGCATGACCCCTAATCTAGTTGACCTTTCGAACTGGCTCCGTTACGAAACATGGTGCCACAGCTACGATGCCGAGCCGATGTCTAAAGTCTTTCACGCTAAGCAAGACTCTGGAAAGAGAACTGTGACCATCCTGCATGGGGTTAAAGAACCCCCAGTTGAGACTCCCATCTCTCGCAAGGGTCCCGTTTCACAAACTAAACCTTCTAAAGTGAAACGGTATTGTCCATTCTGTGATCAGACTGAGCATTATCTAAGCCAGTGTGCATCCTTCAGTAAGCTTAACTCTGACCAGGTCAGGACATGGATTCGGAGTAACAACCGTTGCTGGCGATGCGCTAGGGCACACCATGCTGCTCAATGTGACCTTAAGAAACCCTGCAACCTATGCCAAGGCACACATCTCCGCCCTCTTCATGAGGTGAATGTTGGTCTATCCCCGAGGGAGGATTCGGCTCAAGTGGAAAAGAGCTGCCTGACGAATTCCTCTCCGGATCGACTCTTCCTGGATAAACCCTCTGTCGGAGGTCGAGTCATGCTCAAAGTGGTTCCTGTAAATTTACATTATGAAGATCGCACCCTTGACACCTTCGCTCTTCTTGACGATGGCTCGGAGAGGACTATTCTGCTCTCCACTGCAGTTAAGGCCTTGGGCATCAAGGGTGTCCCTGAGAATCTGCCTTTGCGGACGGTGAGAGACGATATTCAGGTCCTTCATGGCTCTTCCATATCCTTTCGGATCTCTTCCATCTGTAAACCCCAAACCAGTTATAAGATCAATCATGCCTTCACAGCAGATCGTCTTAACCTATCCCGCCAGTCTTACCCAGTAGAACAGCTACGACAGAAGTACAGGCATCTGCGGGGTCTTCCAATCAGTACACTTAATGAAGTCCAGCCTTTACTTCTCATCGGTTCCGATCAGCCCCATCTCATAATTCCGACAGAGCCTGTTCATTGGGGCGGCCCGGGTGCGCCAGCTGCAGTTCATACACGCCTAGGATGGACGCTCCAGGGCCCCATTCCTTTCATGGGGCGGCCTCATGCAGCACGGCAATGCCTGTTAACATCCATGGATCCAATTCAGGACGAACTCTTCCAGAATGTTCAACGCCTGTGGCAGTTGGATGTGGGTCCGCAGTGGGAGAGTAAAGATGTAACCCGGTCCAAGCAAGATCATGAGGCTCTTCAGCTGCTTGAGATGGAAACCCGCACTCACCCTGTGGAGGGCATCAATCGGTTAGCTACGCCTTTACTGCGGCGTAAGGATATGCCTTGTTTGAATGCACCTAAGGAGTCAGTCCTACCTACCCTTCGTAGTGTAGAGAGGCGTCTGCTGAAGGACCCCACCAAAGCTGAGGTCTATAAAGAGGAAATGAGGAAATTAGTTGAGACAGGAGCTGTTCGGGAAGCGACTGACCCCTTACCTGATTCGGCTGAATGCTGGTACATCCCTCACCACATTGTTAGTCACAATGGAAAGTGCCGCATTGTCTTTAACTGCTCCCATCAGTATCAAGGACAAAGCCTCAATCAGTACCTGTTGCCAGGGCCCACCCTTGGGGCCTCGCTATTGGGTGTTCTTATCCGCTTCAGAGAACATCCTGTGGCAGTGAGTGGGGACATCAAGGCGATGTTTCACCAGGTTCGCCTTTTACCTGGGGATCGTCCTCTACTCCGCTTCCTTTGGCGGGACCTGAAGATGGATGAGGCACCTAGGATTCTTGAGTGGCAGGTACTACCCTTTGGCACGACCTCCAGTCCATGCTGTGCAACCTACGCACTACAACGCCATGTACAGCAACATCCTCAGACTGATGAAACGATTCGGTTTTCGGTGGAGAGATGTTTCTATGTCGATAATTGCCTGCAGAGCCTGCCTACTGTTGAAGCAGCGCGAAGTTTGATTGATCGACTACGGAATATCCTCTCTGGAGCTGGATTTGACATTCGCCAGTGGGCCTGCAATGCTCCTGGTGTGGTGAGTCACCTACCAACCAATGCCCGAGCTGTGAGTGTGGAACTGTGGTTGACGCAGGAGAAGTCAGATATCCCTGAATCAACGCTAGGCCTGAGCTGGAACTGGCAGACGGACACTTTGTCGTACAAGCACCGACCTGTGGTATATAACACTCTTACATTGAGGAATATCTATAAGGTCCTAGCTTCCCAATACGACCCTCTTGGCTGGCTTCTACCTTTTACGACTCGAGCGAAAGTGATCATTAAGCAACTGTGGAACAAACAGAGAGGGTGGGATGACCCCAACTTACCACCTGAGCTCCTCCGGTCTTGGAATAGTTGGGAAGAGGAACTCCAATACCTCCCTGGTATCACGTTTTCCCGGCCATATCTCCCTCCTGAAGTTGAAATGAGTATAGCTACTCATGAGGTACATGTCTTCTCGGATGCTTCTGAGCAGGCATACGGAGCGGTGGCTTACCTCCGGACTACCGACCAGGAAGGTCGGACCTACCTGTCCTTTATCATCGCACGCTCGCGTGTCACTCCTAGACGAGCTCACTCTATTCCAAGACTGGAACTCTGCGGAAGTCTAGTCGCAGCACAGTTGGCTAAGTTACTGGAGAAAGAGTTGACCCTACCCATCAAGTCTATTTCCCTGTGGACAGACTCTACCACGGTCCTTCAGTGGTTGAATTCGGAGTCCTGTCGATACAGAGTCTTTGTCGGAAACAGAATTGCTGAGATCCAGGAGTTGACGGATAAGTGTTCATGGCATTATGTAAGTTCTGCAGACAATCCGGCTGATGACCTCACGAAAGGGAAACCTCTTCAATACCTCGCTGCATCCAACCGATGGTCTCAAGGACCCTCCTTCCTCCTCCAGGATCCCAAGGATTGGCCAGTATTACCTACGACTGAGACCATGGCAGACAAGGTTGAACTGCGGAAATCGGCCTTCTGTGGGATCAGTACCTGCCCTCCTTCTTCTGGCAATACTGATGGGTGGAACTACCATACCTGGCAGGAACTATTGGACGTGACAGCCCAAGAACTTCGAACTACCATTTCTCCTGGGACTTCTCCCCAGGCTGAGGATTACCATCAGGCTGAGCTCCAAATTCTCAGACGGGTGCAGCAGGAATCATTTCCTGAGGACTATAAATTGTTAGAGAGTGGGAAGTCAGTCAGGTCCAAAAGTCGTCTAATCACCTTAGCCCCGGAAATGGATCCGTCCAGTGGTCTTATCAGGGTAGGAGGTCGTCTGAGGAGAGTTGCAGGCATTGAGAACTCTGTTTTACATCCTCTGGTTTTGGACCCTTATCACCCAGTCACCCGTTTGATCATACATCATTATGACCAGAAGTTACATCATTCTGGATCTGAACGGCTGTTTGCCGAACTACGGAGATATTACTGGATTCTTCGTGGCCGCGAAGCTGTGCGACGGTTTCAACATGAGTGTCCGGAATGTCAACGGTGGAGGGCCCAACCGACAATCCCTAAGATGGCAGATTTACCCTCTGCTCGTCTTCGGCTCTACAAGCCTGCCTTCCATTCTTGTGGAATGGACTGTTTTGGACCATTGCTGGTCAGACTCGGAAGACGTACAGAGAAGCGTTGGGGTATTCTGTTTAAATGTTTGACCACGAGAGCAGTCCATTTAGACCTACTTCCAAGCATGAGTACTGACTCCTTCCTCATGGCTCTTAGAAGGTTTGTCTCGAGGAGAGGGACACCGGCTGAGTTATGGTCAGATCAAGGTACGAACTTCCGCGGGGGTGAAAGGGAGTTACGGGAAGCTTATGCCGCATTAGTTCCTGATATACAGCATCAGCTTGCTCGTCAGAAGATCCATTTCCATTTCAATCCCCCATCGGCCCCCCACTTCGGTGGAGTCTGGGAACGGGAGGTGAGATCTGTTAAGTCAGCCTTGTACACAGTTTTGGATTCAGAGTCAGTTCCCGAGGAAGTGTTGATGACCGTCTTGCTGGAAGTGGAGGCCATCCTGAATTCAAAACCCTTGGGTTATGTGTCGTCCGATATTGCAGATGCTGACCCAGTGACGCCAAATAGTTTCCTCATGGGGCGGCCGGATGGATCTCTGCCTCAAGTCATTTACCCAGAATCAGAGATGCTAAGTCGCCGGCGCTGGCGACATTCCCAGATCCTAGCGGACCGATTCTGGTCAAGGTTCATTAGGGACTATCTTCCCAGCCTTCAAACTCGCCAGAAATGGCAAGCCTCTCCCCCTGACTTGAAGGAGAAAACATTTGTTTTAGTTGTAGACCCCCAATTACCTCGTGGTTTATGGCCTGTGGGACAAGTTATCAAGACTCACCTAAGTCCGGATGGTCATATCCGTTCAGCGGACGTTCAGATAAAGGGCCAAGTTTACACCAGACCGGTAGCCCGCCTAGTCATCCTGCCAGCCTTACCTAAGGATTGTCCCGATGCTGCTAGCCCCTGATAAGTGAAGTCGCCTTTCATGGCAGCAAAGATGCTCCACATCTTTGGGGGCGGCTGTATTAAAGGCTCATTCAGTCGGGACTTTTATTCTGAGACCGCATTTAGTCGGGACTTTTATTCTGAAACCGTAGTCATGGTAACATGCAGAACAGTGTACAGTCGTCAGTGCAACTGCCGCTATCTGCTGTGTGTAGGTGATCTGTGAGAGCTGTCAGCTGTAAAGTTGCTGATTCCTGTTCGTTCGGGGTGATTGGTGCAACTGTAATATTATGATGTTAGTCATTGCCCTTAAAGTAAGTCAATTTGATTATATTTATGTTGATTTTCAGTTGTGTAACTTGATCTGAATAGAGTTAAGCGTCCGTGACATAAGTGCATGTCCGGACATGTCCTGTATAGATCGTTCTGTGTTATCCAGATCAGTAATATGCTAGTATTTAGTAATAGGCTATTACTTGAGTGTGACGATTCATTCTTTATTAAGCGCCATATCAATGTTATGGGTTATTAATGAGGGGATGTTAGTCGGTCTGTTAATATGTTCCAATACTAGACGATCAGCGTCATGTCTGTTTGTATGTAATGCATATGAGCCATGCGGTTACCCATATATGGGCATTGTATGTTATTGAGGACAAATTGCCCTTATAGTGTGTATTTTCCTGTTTAATACCATGTTTCTGTTTATTCAACTGGATGTTAAGTAGAAAAATGTCAATGATGAGTATTGAGGATAATTATTTAATTATTTAACAGTGAATGCTTATTATTGTATTTAGTTTATTCATTCTCTTTATTGTACTTATTTTCCAGACTATGTACATCATTGAATATACAGTTGTGATCCATCCATCTACCTACAATACACCAAGTTAATCTGATCACCTGTCTCCTCATTATTTGTGCTCTTACCGGCACCCAGAAGGGTTTACTCATCCATCACCTAATCCAAACCTAACAGTCCAAAGCCTCTCCAACACTGACCTTTTAACATCTAGGCTGAAGGCAAGAGGGGGGGGGGGTTAACACCTGCAGGTTAAAGAACGGTTAAACATATTTGAAGCTTTTAGACGTAGGATGTAAATGTGCTTAGTAGCTTCAACTATGGAAAGTTTTGAAAGCCAGTTAGTATATAATAAGGGATTGCTTTTCTGCATGACGAGCTTCAAACTCTCAAGACGGCCCCCACCAAACTCAAACCCTATAAAAGGTTTGGTTCCCTGTTGCTCGGGGCCGCATTTCGAGGTGAAGACCTATACGCTTTGCTGTTATTTTTCTTTTTGAATTTATTGTCTTTGTATCATTCTGACATTTTTTAGTAAAACGAAACCACATTTTCTCAGAGTGATTTTTCCTAGAAGTATCTTAACTTTTTGGTGGTTTAGATATTTATATTAAGCAAAAAGCCCAGTGGCACAGACCCAGGACTGAGCTGGATCAGGGGGTGGCGGGTGGCGGGTTGTGGGTGGCGGGTTGTGGGTGGTGGGTGGCGGGTTGTGGGTGGCGGGTGGCGGGTTGTGGGTGGCGGTTGGCGGGTGGCGGGTGGCGGGTGGCGGGTTGTGGGTGGCGGGTGGCGGGTGGCGGGTGGCGGGTTGTGGGTTGTGGGTGGCGGGTGGCGGGTGGCGGGTGGCGGGTTGTGGGTGGCGGGTTGTGGGTGGCGGGTGGCGGGTGGCGGGTGGCGGGTTGTGGGTGGCGGGTGGCGGGTGGCGGGTTGTGGGTGGCGGGTGGCGGGTGGCGGGCCGGCCCGCCGGCCGTCCTGGAGTACCGGCCGTTCTGTGATTCTCCAGATCACACAGATGGCCAGTCCGCCCCTGCCTGCTTGCAATCGCTGTAAATGTAAGCACAACAAAAGCTCACGCTGTTTTCCAAAGACAGATCTTGATAACCATGAGTGGAGAAAAACAAGTTAATTTTATTTTTATCTAAATTTTCATAAAACTGCCATTTAAATATATTATTTCTATAAGTTATACAAAAAAGGACTAAATAAATAGGCCAAATATGTTAAATCTAAATCTAAATGTTAAATCTAAATATTAAATCTAAATCTGAATGTTGAATCTAAATGATTCGGTAACATTCAAAATGCCGGTAACAGGAAGTGCCAAAATAAAAGCTTGAGGAGGTCAGTGTGTGCGCCTTAAGAATATTCATTAAGAACTTGTCCAACAAGAAAACTTCATAAGTAATAATAATATCCTAACTGGTAAAAGTTTTTCCACAATGATTTAGAGTAATGGCAAAGCCAAAATAAAGGCACTATAGTCTCTGGGTGCTGTTTACAAAAAGAACAGTTTACATCAATATCTTATTTGAATTTCTTTAGAAAGGTATTATATACACGATGGACAATTCGAAAGGAAACTTCTCTTATCTTAGTAGTAATTAAATATCTACTCGGAATGAGCCAAACCTTTCTCCAGATAATATCGGGAAGAAAAGCATTCCAGTAAACTGTGACGTTTGGAATTGATACACAATCATTCAGAAATAATTGCCGTATCGATCTATTAGAAGAAGTGATGAAAAGCAGTATTTCCCCACCACTGTAACATTAGGATCTAGAGGAGGTAAAGAAGAGGAGATATGTTGAAGCAATCTAATAACTCCAGATGGCATCAAAAACAATAGCAGATTCTTTAGGGGTAATGGGAAAGTTAAAACGACTAAGAAATTCTTCATAGTTGAATAAATGGCCATTTGCATTAAATAACTGACTCGCAAGCAAAATATCAGCCTCAAACCAGCGCTGAAAGAACAGAGATTTGTTTTTATACAGATTATCACGGTTATTCCATTTAAAATATTTATGAGGAGAAAAGTTGTGCTTGTATATCAGAGACCAGGCGAGAAGGATCTGCTTATGAAATTTAGATAATTTAGCTGGTATTTTTTCAACATTATAATTACAAAGCAATACAAATTTTAAACCACCAAATTTGGAGAAAATATAATGTGGAATGAATGGATTTTTGAGAAAGTGTTTGGCCCAGTTCATTTTAAGAGTGTTATTGAATGTAAAGTCAAACATATTGAGGCCACCATCTAAATAAGATTTTAAAACAACAGATTTCTTGATATAATGTATGCCATTTTCCTTATGAAATTAAATAACATTTTCTTTGTGTTTTCTCCATAATAGGGGAAACATTACATACACTTCTATCAATTTGATTTTTACAGAGACCTAGATAAGATATCTTATCTTTAATTGGAATATTATTAATTATAGTTGGGTTACAATCTTTAATTGAAAGTAGTTCACATTTAGACAAATTCAAGAAAAGACCAGGGGTCTCATTTATAAAACTGTGCGTAAAATCCTTACTAAAAGTGTACGTATGTCCGAAAGCCAAAAATAACGTACGCAAACAAATATTCTGACTTATAAAACCGTGCGTAGGCCAGAACCTGTGCAGAATTCACTTTATAAATCCCAGTCAGCGGAAGATTGTGCGTACATGCGTCTCCTCCCCGAAATAACCTTAACCTCCTGAGACCCAGAAAAAAAAGTTTTTTGAATTTATTTTTTTTCCATGTCATCACACTGTTTAGAGCACAATAAACAAATGGTAAAAAAACACATATATAAAATAATATTTTATTCATACGTTATGCTATGTCCTCTGTAGTGGACGCCAGGACTAAGTTGTTTAAAAAATAAAATGACATGAAATTATATGTATAGGCAAAAACAATGGGATTTTTTTTCAATCACCAATAAATTTTGGGGTTTCAGGATTTTTTCAACCAAAATTTGTATAAAGATTATTCTCAACTATGTTATGAAAGAAATAATGGAATGAATTGATACACCATTTTACTTTTTGCAATATGTGGGTAAAATGGCCATAAATTAATATTCCCATTCAATGCAATGTATCTATACACTGTATCTAATTTGCACATTAATGTGTTCTTGGAGCAACATTTAATGAAAAAAGAAGTGTAATAATTGGAGTAATAATTGGCAACATTTTAATAATAATATCTAATATTTCATAGGAATATTGATGTATAATTTATTTCCATATTCACTTGTTGTGTCTCCCAGAATGCCTGATAAACATGATTTTAGTCCTGATGTCCTCTACAGTGTCCAAGACATTTGGAAAATATGAAATACGGCTGTGCCGTCACATTAGTTACATTAATAAACAATAATTTAGTAGCCTATATCCTTGCCTTGTTTTTGAATAAATAAATCAAATAGTGTAAAATACATTTCAGAGAAAGTTTTTCTCAATCTTTTCCACTGGCCAAAGAGTATTTTTAATTGTTTTATATTTTTAATGGAAACATGGACCTTGTAGTGCATTATTTGCACAAAACTATTTTCTCAGACAATCTGCTATTATCATGATAAGCAATTATCTCTGTAGTTAAAACATTAAAACACAGCATGCCAGAGGAAAAGTGTTTGAAATCATTGCATCCACAACAAATATTTCTATTTATTGAATATAATTTTTTTTTTAACTTCTCAGTAATGATTTAATGTAATTTAAGTGTCTAACTCCATTAATCAGAATGGCATATTTAATCTATATGTTTATATCAGAAGTAAAACATAGTTTTATTTATTTAAACTGTTATTGTGAACATATTTCACAGAACACAGTATTTATGTTTATAATGAAGATTTACGGTTTTAGATAGGCTGCGTCAGTTTCACTAAAGAACAAAGGGATGGATATTTAACAAAGGGATGGACATTTAAAAAGGGATGGATGTTTGCTTCATGTGATAGGCTTGGTGAGTGGAATTATATTTGTATTATCTTTCTGTATACTGTATGTATAATTTTCTTTAGATTGCGGTCTAAAAGTGACCAAAAAGACATTTAGCTCCAGCTCACCATCGGTGTCGCCAAACTGCTCCGTCTCCAAAACGTGCGTACGCACGGCTCAAAGTTTGCTTAAAGGTGCGCACATTCTCCCATCAAGTTTGTTCCCTTTCGAAGGGAACTCAACAATACGTCATCGACGTTATGGGGAACGCCTCAGGCGTGACAGGTGTCTGAAATCACTATCAAATCACGTCAATCACATTGACCGGCGACAGCCCGTGAATCATTAGCGTGAATGATTAACGTGCGACCTGGAAGTATATAAGGGCGCCTTGCAAACATGACAAATCATCTCATCGTCTTCAGGGACTGTTTTGTCTGTAACTGCTTTGAAAATCAGGTAATTATGAAATGCTTTCAGAAGTGTGCAGACCCGTGCTCAAGATATCTGAAGTCGGGTGACACACGCGAACTGTGCATTTTTCTGTCTGGGAATGGAGACGCGCACAGGCAGTTCTCGAGGGAACTGCCTGTACAAATTGTGATCGCGCCGGTCCCTCTTCTCGAGAGAAGAGGGTTCAGCGTCTGGATGTCACAGATGAAGCTCGCCGATCGCCGGGGTGTAATCCTCTCAGACGATGCGGCGGCTGACGAGAAGCTGCAATTGGATGAAGTTTAAAAAAAAAAAAAAAGGAAAACTTAGTCCGGCAGCAAGCGCTCTCCCGGACAAACAGGAGGTGGCTGATGAGGGTGGTAATAATAAGATATTTTCCTGTATCTTCTCAGCTACCCTGCCCCGTGTATGCTGAGCTGGTGGTATTATAGAACGCGCCACGGACAGGCTGCAGCTGCCGTGGCTGCTCGTTGGGGGAGAAATCGCTCGCGATGAGAGCGGTTTTTCCCCAGTCATGGAACCACCAGCTCAGGTGAGCCTTTCATTTCTTCCCGATCTCATACTGAGATCGAGAGGACATGGAAGAACCCATACTCTGCCTGTATCCACCAACATCAGCAGGCTAGTCTCGCTGATGTTGAGAGGATAGGAGAGCGTGGGTATGCGTCGATGGGAAAACAATCGACACTGAGAGCTCA